CAAAGAACAAAGTATTATTTTAACAGTCATAAAAAGGCCCTGCCACCAGAGATGAATATCGACGATTATATTCTGGTAAGACATCAGAAGTTTGGAAAGGAATGGAAGCTATCTGGTCCGCATCGAGTGACAAGGGTAACCAAAATGGATGGCCACCCCAAATATGTTGAATATGAGTGATGATAAAACTCCAAGAACGGCTCACATCTCCAATATCCAACCTTATCTGCATCGACATCCCAGGAGGGATGAAGTCACTTGAAGTCGGGGAAGTTGTAATATACCTTATAATAATATTATAATCTACTCTGTTTAATTAATTTATTTTTGATTGTTTGGATTTGGCAGCACTGTAATTATTGTTGTTGTTATGAATCTATTTAAGAAGTGTATGTTTGACATTAGAAAGATATATAATTAAAATTTGTTTATTAATTTAATAAAGCATATTTATTTATTCAATCGAAGGAACATTACAAATAGTATATTGTTTGTGTATTTGCTTTGGTGAGTTTTTGTCAGTTAATCAATAATTTAATATTTTATTTCGACGTCTTAAATCCGACCTAACATTCAGAAATATGTCTATACATGGTCTGAATGAAATCCTTCATTTAACTACATTAAATCAACGAATAGTATAATGGTAGATATGATGGAAAACACACTGAAACACAGGCAGGAGAACTGGCTTCTTTGATCACAGTGGGTATAGCAGGCACTTTCGACAATGTATGTTGGCCAGCAATTATTAGAAGACTTGATTTTTAGTAGCATTCCCTCCAAATAGGTAAGAATCATACAATATTTCATTTAAACAGTGAAAGAAGGGCAAATTCCTCATATGGAAATACAAATATTACTAAAATCTGACAAAGAGATACCCTCAAGGCAGCCCTAATAAAGTCATATTTGCAGCTGTTGCTGTATTAAAGTGTCACAGCAAAGGTACAGTACACAACTCCATTCCATCAGAGTCGGTAGTTCTATATTCCAATACAATTTGTAATAATAAGATGTGGGGGTAGCACCATAAAACAAAAGAATGAAATATGTATGAGAGGAAACAAAAAATTCTCCATATAAGTTATATACTAGATATTTATTCAAAATAAACAAATTTAGGGAACATTTCTATACTGGCGAGATATGCTATTTATATTGTGATCTAGATAGAGGTGACTTGAAGTTACAAATTTGCCTTTATAAAGGGGAAAGCCTAGATCTCCATCTATTCTGGCGAGAGAAAAAAAATAAGAAACCTATCATATTTAAGTTACTTAAAGCCCTTTAGGGCCCATGCGAAATCTAAGTTAGTTTCTGCTCAAAAAGGGGGTACTAAGCCATAATGGCAAAGAGGCTTACCTTTTCCCGAAAGCGCCGGCGAAAGTCTAGTCTCCTCCCTTCTGCGTCTCGAGCCCGACTGTAGGCTGCCCTTCTGATTTATCGACTCTGACTGAATCGTCCTTGATTTAGCAAAGAAACCCTCTTTTATCCTTGCCTCTCTCCATTTTCATTCGCTGCTCGCGCCAAAGTTTCTATTGGTTGGCATTTTCACTCGTCGAAAGAAAACACGCACGTGAACATGACCACGCCTCCAATTTACCGTGTTGCCGCGAGAGAGAAAAAAAAATTGTAGATTGAAAAACAAATTAATTCCTTTAGGAAATTAAATAATATATATTCCGAGTATTAAAAAAATATTGATTTAAATGTTTATATGATAAATTATTTTCTTTTGGTCACCTCTATCTAAATATTAAATGAGGGGCATATATGTACATATGGTACAGCAGCTTCCAGCACGGATGTCTCTGGATGTCACTGGTGTCTTCTCCTCCACCAGGCATCAGCTTTCGGCATGGAAGTCTGGTGTCATCAAGTGTCTAGGTTTCTGGGCAAAAAAAAGGTAGTCTATAAGTCTATGTGGGAGGGAAGCCATGTATCCAGTTGATGTTGAACATACGTCTTCTGTTGGGGTATGATTACAAAACGTACCCCAACACATTTAAATAAAAGCTCTTTCTAAAATGTATTATATTTATTAATTATTTAGTTAGTTTTTATATATATAGTGATGAATTTACAAAACTTAGAATCAAAAGTTTACTGGGAAATAAGCGGAAGCCTGCTCGCGGCGGATTGGTCAATTCCTGGAAGGGAAGGTTAACAAAGAAATATAGAAATCTGTCCAACCCTGGCCACTCCGACCACCCAGAAGTCTGAAAAGTTGTACACTTGCATTGTTCATTGGAATGAGTGAGAGTTAAAAGTTTCATACTTCTATGTGATCTGGAAGTATATTAAAATTAATTTACAAAATTTGAAAGGCAATTTGGAAATTTGTCCATTTCCGGTCACCCTGACAACCCAGAGGTCTGAAAATTTGTCAAATCGCATTGTCATCGGGTCCTGAAGAGTGTGTTTGAGACTAAATATATATATCCTATTAATCTGTGAATAAATATATAATCATTATAAACAACAAGAATAAGATGTAGAATGTAAACAACGTGGTGATGTAAAATATCAGTATAAAGTTTAATAAACAATTTATAGAAATATCATTCTTAATTATAAAAAATATAAACACCAAACAAGTGTACCAAATTTCAGATTCCTATGTGCGCTAGAAGTATACTAAAAATCTATTACAAGATCTGTGGAAGACAGACAGAGAAGCGAGTTAAATAAAAGCTTTTGATAAAAATAAGATAACAGAGTGCCTTCTGTATCTGAAATTGTGTGTGAACTATTTTAGCGCAATTTCTTCTTTAAAATGAAAATATTAAATATCCGGTTATCATCATCATTCTGTTTTGTAAACAATTGGATATGCGAATCCTTCAGTTGGGACCATCATTTATATATTTGTATAAACATGCATCATTTCAAACGCTTTGTTTTGTTCATATTTTTATTTTGCCTCTTAATGATAATTATTTTTGCCGCCATATTTGAACAATTTCAGTCAAAATATGCAATTGATGTATGTATCATTATCACTTTTACAATTTAAACAATATTTCATGGAAAAATATATAAAAATTGATATTAAGTAAATAATATTTGAAAATACACACAGTATAAGCAAACTATGTTGCGTGTAAATATACTAAGCCATAGTTTGCTTTATGAAAGATAGAGCATATAGGAATTTTAAGTCCTCATTTTAGCTTTGAATGAATATCCTGTTAGCATTATTAATATAATTTTTCTCTTATATATAATACTAAATATTATTATACGAATATATACAGAATTTGAAGGATTTTGAACATCTATCCTCTCCAGGGAGTAAGTCTAAATTAGTAGCAGGTGATTGTTTGGATCCATTATCAATGGGATTACTGAACTATAGCTATTTACTAGGTACTTTAGGGCAGCTTGGAAGTTTAGCTGCCATCTCTTCCCCTACTCTAGGTCAGTTCTTCATTACTAATGTGTGCTGTGAGATTGTGCTAGGTGTGAGGATCCATTTACAAAAAAAAAAAAACAGATATAAATCTTCTTCTTTCTTATCTCCACTCAATCATATCAAGGCATCAAGCTTGTTGATGGTGTCTGCTGGGGATGAGTAGAGCTCATCAATGGATGAATCAATACAGTCAATAATGTGTTTTGGGGTTGCATAGTGGGAAAACCTTGCAACCATACAGAGATAAATAGATTCTAAAAATACAGTCTAACTTCTTTAATTCGACATCCCAAGTGATCAGAGCTTTTGTTTGAATTAAAATAAGTGTTAATTGATACAAAAAAATAAGACCTAATCCAAATAATTTAATAAAACATTTTATTCTTTTGTCTGATGATGGTAACAAGGCTGTTACCGAAATGTCACACACTATTGAATTATTTGGATTAGGTTTTATTTCCTTGTATCTATAATGCAAATTGTGTTTTATCATAAGTGTTGAATTATAACATTAGATGATTTCATCACAACATCCATTTCTAGTAAACATTTTTACAGGATAACCACAAATATATAGTTGAAATAATAATTTTAGAAAATACTGTTGTAATATATTCTAAATAATAAGGTGAATTTGATACCACGTTGGGACTTTTTTTTATATATATATAAATGAGTCGGTGGACGAGTGGGTAACACCCTCGATTCCCGACAGTCATGAACCGGGATCCCGCATTAACATTTTGTTTAATATGTGAATAACCTTCACATGTTATTCATTGTGGTAATTATCATAAACTAGGTTGCTCTTGCTGAGCAGTACCTAATAAAGTGATTTCAGAACAAGGAAGGGACTTTTTTTTTTTTTTCAGAATGTTTCACAATTACCTTAAAAAAAGTGATGGATACAATTAAATTAATAAATTTGTGAACAAAGGAAAAATTACAAATACAATTTAATATTAGGGAATAAATTCAATGAGAAGAAAAGCTAGAAAATAAAGAAAAGGCTAAAAATGAAAAGGCTCCAAGATACAGTCGACTCTCGATAATTTGAAACTCGTTAATTTGAATCTCTTGATAATTTGAAAATTTTCCCTGTCCCTTGAAAAACACTCGATAAGTTGAATAAAATCAATATTAATTGGTCCCCTCGGTAATTTGAAGTTGAAGGAAAAGTATCTTGCCAAATATGAACATTTGTGAATAACTGTACAAATGTTTAAAATAATAAATCACAAGTTTTGAGAGAAAAATCAAACTCTTGTTTGAGAAAGGGCAAGACCCAAAAGCTCCCAATAAATGTATTACTTAAAAAACTTGCGGCAAGTCACTTATTTAATCTTGTATCAACATAGTATGTATATCCCGAAACTTCAAACTCTTGTTTACTTGATTTTTTTTTCCTTCCCTACCTCTTGGTTGTTTAAACTACTGTTATTTTGAACTCATGAAATATTAAAAATTTTCTCCGGCCCCTTGAGTTTCAAATTATCAAGAGTCGACTGTTTCACATCAATGTTAGCAGCCGTTGACTAGTAAAATAGCTCTCTTCTAATCAATGTCACCACTTCACAGAAGTGTCAGGCTTGCCGAGTGGTCTAAGGCATTCAGGTGTCAGTCTACTCTTGTAGGTGTGGGTTCGAATACCACTTCTGACATTTTTTCTGCCTTTCACATATGTAGACATGTGGTGCACTTATAGTAAAAGCAGTTGCCAACTTCTACCCACCATGATAGTCATGGCCTGTACCACATGTACTAGGAATAATAATTTTTTTTAAATAGGGGGTCGGTGGAAGGGTGGTCTAAACCGTTGGTTTTCAACCACTACGACCCGAGTTCTATTCTCGCATTGGGCACTTTTTTTCTGATTTTAAAAAAATAATGCTCCAATGGCCCCCGATTCTTGCAAAAGTCCAACCCTACCAGCGAGTGCAAGTAATGGGGCTCTGGCACATTTGTAAGTGCAAAGTCAAACTGCTTTTCACATGTGTAGACATGTGGTGCACTTACAGTAAAAGCAGTCACCTACTTCTACCCACCATGATTTTCATGGCTTGTATCACGTGTACTAGAGATAAGCAAAAAAAAACTTTTTTTTAAATGTTATCAGCCGCTAAAGTTAGGCCTAAATCGTCCATCATTGACACCAATTTTGCCATGCATTTTACCTTTTTATTTCATTAACTTTCAGTATCAAGGACAAAATGACATTAATACATTTGTTTGAAACATAAAAATAATTATAAATAAAAATTAAATCTAATTGAATAATAGCAGTGAAAGTAAATAAATATGGAAAATTTTTAAAATATTTTTTTTAAGAATCATTAAGATCTTTTAAAGAAATTCTTTATGGATGCTTGCTTTGCACTGAAATCCTATTCAGGGTGCCACATTCCAGCTGATCTATTTTCAAAAGACACGTCTTTCCTCTCCTCTGTAATGTCTTTTAAATAACAAAGAGTTTTGAGTGTATTAAAGTCTTTTTCTTCTATATATTTTTTTGTTTTTTTCCACATAAGTAAGCTGGCCATACAGACCATGTTTCTGATCTTTTTGGCAGAACCTGACAACTTGCCACGCTCATTTATTCCACACTTTGGGTACAAGGTATTAAGACCAAATCCAAATAAATAAATAAATAGTGTGTGACATTTTGGTAACAGCATTGTTACCATCTTCAGACAAAAGTGCTGAATGAGAAATTTCTTCTTTACTTCCGGGCTAATTGGCCTAATGTGTAAGGTCTTCTAGCCCCCAACATGGCTGCAGAAGGCAAACTGGTGGCAAGGGATCCTAAGATCTGGCAGAGGAGAAGACTTCGCAGGGGATGGAGTCCAGTAGGGAAGGCAGGAGAAGGTGGAGGCAGGAGGTCCTGGAAGCCTAGAACTTGAGGGCCCTAGACTTCAGGATGGGGCAGCTTGAGGCTCTCGCCCTCATGCTTGTCAGGAAGGCCCTTGGCGCAGCAGTTGGCACACTTGGAGGTGCGCTGGTTGGCAAGGGATGGACAGGCACGACCTTCATGGTCGTCTTCACCGCAATGGATGCACTCTGGAGCATTGTGCGGAGTTGTGGCCGAAGCCACAGCAGCAGAAGCAGACGCAGGCACGGATGGATTCCTCAAAGTTGAGGATGACCCCATCCACAACGATCCTCCCGCGCACGCCCAGGGCTCTGAAGGTTTTGAAGTCCACCTCGATGAAGGCGGTGCATGTCCCGTTTCTGGGTGCAGAATGGTGCGCCACGTGCACCACCTTGTCCCCAGGGAGTTGGCTAACAGTAGGGGTTTCCAGGAAGGTTTCTTCAATGGTGGAGTTGGTAGTCTCCTCGTCCACTTTGAAGAGGCAGATGCGAGGCAGGATCTCTTTCTGCTGGCGGACCTTCATACCATCCAGCTTGTTGGTCAGGGAGGTTGTCACTGCGGGGATGGTGTCTGGGTTGCTGGAATGTAGGACCAGCTTCCCCTTGGTGCGCAGGGAAGCCCAGACGCCTTGGGGGAGAGTGTGGGCGGCGCGGACTGCTTTCAGCATCTCCCTTGGGTCAGCCTGTGGGTCATCTGAGATGACCACTGTGTGGGCCACCGATTTTTCTCCATTGAGGGTCACTCGGGTGGCCGCAGGCTTGGAGATGCGGGAAGGCGCAGGCTTGGAAGGACCTTGTAAATTGGTTCTCTTTGCAGGCGGGTTGGGAGCCTCAGGCTGCTTCCTTTTTGTTGGAGCAGGAGCAGGCAACTTGGGGGCAGGCTTCTTCGTTGGGAGAGCAGCAGGAGCAGGAGTGGCAGGCTTGACTGGGTCAGTCTGGGAGCAGGTGTCCTTTCAGGAAGGAGCTGGGCAGGTTTGGGTAGAGGTAGAGATAACCGGAGGGCGGGCAGAGGAGGCTTCGAGGGCAGTGAGTTTCTCCAGGAGTTGGTCGCAGTCGGCAGTCATGGCCTTCAGTTTTTCTGAGAGCCTAAGGATGCAGGCGCGGCGTCTCTGGAGAAGACAATCAATGGTGTCGTGCAGGTCAGGATGGGAGAAGCTGTTGTATTGGGACGCGGTGATCCTGTCAACTTCTTCAACATTCTCAGCGGTAATTTGGAGGCCTTCAAATTCTTGGTAGAGGGCGGTGTTGACTGGCGGAGGAACCATAGTAGTTTGGTGATGGGCAGCTGGGGGGGATGTACGCAGGTGCTTTGAAGAGGATTTGTAATTCATGTCAAACCATGGCTTGTCGGTCGACTTAGCAGCTATAGGGTCACTTTCTTCGATGGGCTTAACTTCAATATCAGCAGTATTGTTCTTTTTCATTGAATGAAAAACCATGAATATGCCCTAAAATGGGATAAAATTGAGAATTCTGCACTTGTAGAACAGAAAAATCACAGGGCATAATAATTTTAATCTAAAAGAAACAAAGATACTAGAAAAATGCATCGGCCGGGAATCGAACCCGGGCCGCCCGCGTGGCAGGCGAGCATTCTACCACTGAACCATTTGGGTATTTGATACTAGATTAAAAGAAAAATTATTTTAAGAGACAATTTAAAGAAGCATTTTTCATTCAAAAGAAATGTGCTACAATTAACAGAATGGAAGAAAGAGGAAATATCAATGATATTTATAGATATGCTTTTAAATATATCTTTAAAACTTTTCCACTTTTTTCCACTTTTAATTCTAAGAATAATTATCTGTGTTTCTCAGAAAATTATCTTCTTCTTATCTGCTGTCTTGTTTACCCACTTGATAACAGTAACTATTTAAACCATGCTGTGGTAAAATTTCTCATTCAGTACTTTTGTCTGAAGATGGTAACAACGCTGTTACTGAAACGTCAAAAAATATTTATTTGGATTTGCTCTTATTACCTTGTGTTTATAATCTACTAGCGGATGTGTACCCGGCTTCGCCCGGGTTTTATCCGAGTGAAAGTTTGCCTAACGAATATTATTGATAATAATATTCGGGAACACACAGAACATTATGATAATAATGATAATATAATTCGTTACGCCATATATTTATATAATATTACCTGAGTAAAGGTTTGTTTAACGTATCTCTCGATAAAGTGAACATTTTTCCCGGTCCCTTGAAAAATACTCGATAAGTTGAATAAAATCAATATTAATTGGTTCCCTCGGTAATTGGAAGTTAAAGGAATAGTATCTTGCCTTTGAATTGTATCATTATTCTTGTCTCAAATAAATTGCCGTGTCATCCTGAATTTTGTCTTTCCTAATTTTCTACATTACAAAATCATCGTATCATCATGATAATATTTAGAGCAGATTGTTGAATTATAACAGATAAATTAGAATATTTATCTTGATTATTTCTAGGCGAAAAGTTATTTCAAAAATTTTATTTGCTAGAAACCTTCCCAGTACTATACTAAATAACTTCCCAAAGTTTCATGGCGATCCAATGAGTGGTTTGGTCAGGCATAAAGGACAAACAAACAAACAGACACACACACATACATTCATTTTTATATATATAGATAATCCAAATTGTGCCTTATCCACACTTTGAGGATGGAAGATTCCAGAGTTGCATGGTCCACTGGCCACTATGAAAATCGAGTTGTTCATAAAAATTTTAAATAAATAAAAAATTATTTCAAAAATGCACTATCATTTTAATATAATCTATAGAGAGAGAGAGAGAGTTTAAAATAATTTTCAAAAAATTAAATTCATATAAAAAATAGTGTGTGTTTTTTATTTTTTAAATGTTGCTCAATTTTTTATTGAGATCGTGCAATACAAATTCACTCCACATACTATATGACAGTGAGTAAAAGGTAAATATATTATCAGATAATCTATTTACACATTTTATAATATTTATTCTAAGATAAAACTATAAAAGTAACTTCCAATAGCTTATCTAAGTATGATAAACTAAGAAGCAGCCTTCATACAAAGAGGCACTTGACATCAATTATATACTCTATATCATCTAACAAATTTTCAGATTTTAAGTAATATTGAGTGGTAAATGTACTAGGTACAGTTTACATCTAAAAAATGTGATAGGAAAGTGATTTAAAAAAGCGTGCGAACAAAGAAAAATGAACAAACAAGGAAGAAAGATAGGCAGGCAATAGAGTTGCTGGAACAGTGGTCTCACGTGATGTTTTACATTGGGTCAGCTGACATCCCCCCAACCCATTGATAGATAGACAAGAAGGTATGGGACAAGATCCTGGTGGACGCAAATTTGCATTGGTCACTGGCAATTTTATATTTATTTTTAGAAATAGGGGACATGGATTCGCATTCTTTGAGTCCAAAGTGTTAAACTAACACGGAAATGGAAAATTGAAATAAAATATTCATATAATCATTGTGGCTTCATTATAATGATTTGTAAATTTGAAAGGAAAATATTCATATATTTAATAATAACTAAAATATTCTTAGTTTGAAAATTAAAAAGAAAATAATATTATTATTAATCTCAAAGCCCATGATGCCTAAATAGCCCGTATAAAAAAAAAACTCTCGACATTCACAACGGTGCTGCAAAGTGAAATTTAAACTAACCAGAAACCAAAAGTGCGCAGGCGCGTTCTTAAATTTGCTTTTTGGCAGCCGCCACTCGCCTCTGTAACTGTACCTTTTAACAGTAAAGTTGTATGTAAACAACATTTTGAAATTTGAATTTTAAAATGGTTGAATTATTGGAAGTGTCGAATTTTATTGATAGCGTCGAATTACAGTTTGTTACTTTCGGGGCTCAAAAATCATCCATTCTGGTTAGCAGCCTCGTAAATAAAGATATTTCCGTTTGTTATTTGATAGGCCGGAGGTCGGGACATCAAAACATGGTCAAATTATTGTAAAGTGTCGAATTATCGTGTGTTAAATTAACATGGTTATACTGTATGTTAATTGGTGTTGGTTATTTGATAGGCTGCAGGTCGAGACACAAAAATATGGTTGAGAATTATCGCAAGTGTTGAATTATAGGGTGTTGAATTAACAAGGTTTTACTGTGTATCTTACAATAATAATCCTATAATTTCATATATAGCTGAATCCCCCCCCCCCACATGCTTCGTCTGGCTATTGCATATTTCAGCAATGCTTTGTTATGGCACCTAATCAGTTAAATAACCAGGTATCAAAATACATTGTGTAAAAATAGCAACCAGTCAAATTTTTTATTAGCCTTACCAGTGCTGCCCATAATGGTGAAGCAGAAATACAAAAATTTTGTTTTCCATTTATTAACATTACCACATGAAATTCTTCAATTTTTTTAAATAGCTATAAACACAAGGTAATAAGACCAAATCTAAATAAATAGTGGGTGATGTTCAGTAACAGAATTGTTACCATCCTCAGACAAAAGTACTGATTTTTTTTTCACACACTATTTATTTGTTTAGATTTGGTCTTGTGTTGTTTGTAATCTATATTCCAAATTGTGCCTTAATCATTAAATAGCCTATGTTAAGGGGAAATCATCATGTTTCCAGGGATAAGTTTCTTTTTAAAAAATGTAATTCAGATCTCTAGCTTGAAAGACATGAAAGATTTCCAGTTGTTTTGATGGTTTGATATCCTTTATAACTAGATGTTTGTTACAACTGAGGAATCCTTAGAATGTGACTGTGTGTGGACCCACATTCAATGAAGTTGTGTTGTTGCAAACATATGTCCAGAACGAGCCACTACTGCACACATCCCGGCAGAAGCCCCGGCCCTCCAACCAGACCATTTCCTCCCACCTCCTCCAGAGGATCAACCAGAAGCTGGAGGTGATGAAGAACTGGAAGCCGCTGATGTCGGAAGATCCAATGGTGCAGCGGCTGATGGGAGACCTGCGGCCCATGGCAGGATGGAGCCACAAGCAGAGCTGGGACCAGGCGGCCAGGTGGGTGGAGCCCCGTAGGATCACGCCCTCTTCTGCCCCCCAGCTGGGGACCATCCTCCACTCCCTCAGCACTGCCCCCATCACCATGGCAGATGTGGCCCTCAGGGGCACCCAGCTGAAGATACTGCTGCTGCTGGAGGGAAACCATCTAGCACTCTTCAAGCCTCGCAGGTAACTACTACCTGCTTATCTGTTGTGCTTGGAGATAATAGGTACTTTCCTACATACATAGGGCGAACTAGCAAAGTTTTGCATATCTAGTAATAGTTTCCACCACAATCAATACACTTCTCCATCCTTTGAAACCAGTTATGAAACCAACTCTTCCACGTTTTCTCAGGGAGCTGGGTACACTCGTAACCTATGCCATCAAAAGGTCTTCATAGCAGAAAAAGCGTTTACCTTAAAGTCTGTTCTTCACGTGAGGGAAGATGGTAAAGTTGCAAGGTCTGAACTGTAGAGAGTATGCTCCAACAATTTTAGTCCAGTACGTGCCAAATATTCAGCGCAGACCTTCAAACAGTGAGCTGGAGCATTGTCATGGTGGAAAAACCATGTATCAGTCCTTGAGTTTGGAAGTAACTTTTTGATAGCTTGAACAACTTTAGGAAGGCATTCCTCAGTGTACCACTTGGCAGTGACTGTCTTTTGATTTTACAGTACCGCACAACTGACAACTCTGGCAGTAAAGAAGATGGCTAACATTTTTTTCTAAATGCATCTCAGTTTTCGTACAGACACAGGCAAGCTTTCACCTTCAAATATCCAAACTTTGTTCTGGCCTTTAGTAGGCACATCAAAATAATAAAGCCAAGTTTCATCACCTGTTATGATGCTATTGACATAACGAGATGATCCATTATCAAACTTTTTGAGCATCTCTCGGCACCATGAAACATGTTGAGTTATCTGATCATGAGTTAAGGAATGGGGAACCCATAAGGAACAAACTTTACTCACTTTTAGATGGCCGTGGAGAATGGAATGAATGCCTGGTGAAGATTATGTCTAAACTCACAAGTTATATGTCGATCATTCTCCAATAATTTCTTGTCAGCAGCGTTGTTTTCCTAATTACCTGACGAAACTGGACATCCTGACCTTGGTGCATCTCAAATGCCATATTTTCCTCGCTGAAACTCACGATACCACCTGAATCTGTTGTGCTTGGAGATAGGTACTGTCCTATAGTATTGGTCACTGCTTGTCATTGGCTTGGTGGGGTGATCTGTTGTGCTTGGAGATAGGTAGTGTCCTAAATATAGTATTGGCCACTGCTTGTCATTGGCTTGGTGGGGTGATCTGTTGTGCTTGGAGATAGGTACTGTCCTAAATATAGTATTGGCCACTGCTTGTCATTAACTTGGTGGGGTGATCCGTTGTGCTTGGAGATAAATACTGTCCTAAATATAGTATTGGCCACTGCTTGTCATTGGCTTGATGGGGTGATCTGTTGTGCTTGGAGATGTCCTAGACACACTGGTTCATAAGTGGTTGCTCCAGTGCCAGAGTTTGGAGTAACAACTCTTCCAAAGGAGTATATAGACAATATCTCTGGTTTCACTAGGTCTGTTACTAGGATTAGTTCAATACCCAATTCCAATTGTTAACCTTCTAGTAGG